CATGTGGAGGGGGGTAAAATGAGGAGGCCACTTTTGGCACATTGTGTCCAGCAGGATTTTGAAAATGCTCCACAAGAGCTTGGAGAGCAGTTAGGATTATATAAATAGATCTGGTGCCATCTGCATAGAAGTGATTGTTGAAGTCACGTGAGTGGATGAGTTCAACAAGAGAGAACGTGTAGAAAGTGAAGAAGGCCCAGGATAAAGCATTTGGGAAGCAGTAATAACCAAACCCTGGCAGATGTAAGTATCTAATTGCACTGTTCTGAGTTCTCAGTGGACTTTTCAGAGACAAAAGGAGTGCTCAGTGGGGAGAAGACAATGGTCTCAGCGTCTGGATACAAAAATGTTTGTTGACAGCTGGGAAGTGCTTATGAGTGGGAAGAAGAGTGACGGGATTTATGTCAATAGGACCAAACAACTTATTTTAAAGTTAAGAAAATTGAATCCTAGAGGAATTAAATTATTGCTGCAGGGGATTGACTGAGTTCCCTAATCAACTTGGTGAGTTTGAAGGGTATTGAGTCTTTAGTTGGGACTTTGATTGTGTCTCATCAATTGAGAATGAGTTGATTGACTCGGGCTGTTATGGATCAACAATCCTGGATAATAGCTTGGTTCTAGGACTGTGGTGGGTCTAAACAACTCCTTTGTGCTGGCCTATAAAATAGGAAACTATTGCAAAGTCAACCTTTTTGCTCTTCTTTCCCCTTTTGGAAGTTAGGTCAGAGGTCCACGGAATAAAGAGTTTACCTTGATTGGGGAGGGGGGGAGCAGGAAAAGGTGTCCCACCTCAAGAGCCAATGATGGCAACCTCCACACTCATGGAAGTTGCATGTGCTCTCACCCACATGATCCAACTGTCATTACTAGACTCTGAATTCTGCAACCTAGATTTCTCTGTTTTTTTTCTGCTCATTTTAAATGTGTTTTGAGAGAGAGAAAGGTGCATTACTTGACAATATCTATTTGGAGAATGTCTTCATAGCAACCCTGACTTTGTTCATTCCCAGATACAGCCTTCTAGAGAGAAGAGGAATTCTTGAGTAGAGAGAGCTTCTTAGGGAAAAGAAAAATCACTCACTAGCATGGCCCCAAGAGGTAGAAGAACAGAAAGGGACTGACCAATGTTAGAGTGTGGGAGGGAGAGCAAATAACAAGTACTTTGGCCCTCTGTTTTTACCCTAACTCTTTAGATAGTATGGTTCTAATGGCAAGGGGGATGGTTCTCCAACAAACCCAAGTTAATTTTCCTTCCAGGGGCAGTTCAAGCCTTCAGGATTGAACAATAAGGTTTTTGACTTGTGTTGTTCTCTTGGATAAAATTAGGACTCACCAGAATGTCAATGGGTTGACTGTCTAGTGTCTTCAAGTTTGTTTCCCTGTTGAGGGTAGTTCAGACCCCAGGGTGGTGCTATAAACCTAGAGATTCTGGGGAAGGTGGGTCTCACCAGAGAGGGAAAAAAACATAAAAGTATGTTAATTGTTTATGAGCTACTGAGTCAGTCCTGCACCTTATGAAAATCACTTTAGTGGCTAAATGGAAGATGGATTGGAGTGAGTAGAACCTTGAGGCAGGCAGAACCCCCTCCCCAGCAGCTATTGCAATAGTCCAAGTGTGAGATGATAAGGGTCTGCACCAGAGTGGGGGCAGTGTCAGAGGATAGAAGAGGACATATGCAAGAGATTCTGCAGAGGTGAAATCAACAACCCTTGGCACCATATTGGATATTGAGGAGTCAAGGATGATTCAAGGTTGGGAGCCTAAGGGATTGGGGGCAGGGGTATTCAGCATACTTTGTTATTTGAGGCCATATATTCAATTCAATTCAACATTTATTGAGTATCTGCTGTGTACAAAGAACACATAAGACAGCCATGAACCTGATAATTTCAGCTCATTTCATAGTCATGTCAGATGACAAAATACTAAACCCAAGTAAATAAAACTAAGACCCTTGTACAAGGAATTTCTCATATAAAACCACTGAAGGCAATTGATATGGCTACTTGCTTAACATTAATCTTGGTATACAATCTCATTCAGATTTAATACTTTGCCTCAGTACTTTTTGATGTTGCCTTTGAAAAAAATCTTTTTTTTCTCTTCTCAGTGTAGACTTTTTAAAAACCCTTGACTGGGGGCAGCTAGGTGGTGCAGGAGCTAGAGCGCTGGCCTTGGAGTCGGGAGGAGTTGAGTTCAAATCTGACCTCAGACACTTGACCCTAGCTGTGTGACCCTGGGCAAGTCACTTAACCCCAATTGCTGAAAAAAAAATCCTTGACTGGTAACCTAATAAAATAGGACATGGCATCTCCCACAACGTAAAAATAGATTACAATGCATCTTTTTTTCAATTATGTTTCCTCACATATAATGTGACTAATTCCAGGGACATGACAGTTGTGTCTTTTATGGATTTATTGACAACTGCTCAGAACAGTGTCATCCTTGCTGGCTTCTTTTCGTCAATGAACTGGAGATCAGTTTGGGTCTGGTGCAGATGACTACTGTGGCCGTTGGATTCACTTACCTGGGAAGCTTGTCAGCTTCCTTGAGCTGTGAAATTATCCCTGAGGATTGTTGTTGCAAATGGGCTGCACAGTTGGGGGGTCCCACAGTAGTTTTAGATAAGCTAGTGAATCTCACACAGCTCCTTTAAGATTACCATTATTCAACCTGTCTCATGCCATTAAGATGTAGTCAAACAGAGATTTCTCTCTACCATACCTTCTCCTTTACAATTGGACAATAAAAGAGGGATCATTAGTGATGACTTTTTCCAGTTGTTTGTAAAACTATTATTATTCATGAGTCAAAAGATCGGAGTCATAGATTTTTTAGCTCCAGCTCAAATAGGTATGATACTATGACCCTAATGTGTCTTGGAATTTGTAGGGTAACAAATACATTTAACGAAAGAAGGAAGTGGGAAAGTGGTTGACATGAAATGAACAAGATCTTTTTATTGTATCCGAAATGTCACTGGTTAATCAAGGGACCTATACTCACTTTAATATCATTTTCATCATTGGCATCATTGGTATAATTATGTTTGGAGCTAAATCCAAGATGTGTGACTTCAACCAAGTCACTTGACCTCCTCAGACCTCAGCTTCTTACTCCTTATGGTGAGAAGGTTGGACTAGATACCCTCTGAGTTCCCTTCCAGCTCCAAATATGTGAAGCTATGAAACCATTCTTGGCTCCACTGACCTTTCCTCTGATTGTCTTGTAATTTCTGTAACAATTACAAGGTCTCTGTCCTTGGTATATATTTATGCAGTGCCCCTCCTCCAATTTTAGTATTTTTAGTGGTTTTGGAGAAGTCTTTTAACAGCCAATAAGAAAATAACTATTTTTAAGATTCTCAACTCCACACAAGCCATTTCTTTGTAGTTGGAACAGCCTCCTGCTCTACCTGCCAACAGGAAGTCAACAACCCAACAGGGGATTTTGAGATGGAGGCATTAACACCTCCTAGCTCCTTGCCACCTGTGAGGTTTTGTCCATGTACATGATTACAGAATGTCAGAGATAGAAGGAGCCTTAGAGTTTGCATTGTGTTGCATTGCATTGGATTGGAATGGATTGGATGAGGGATGATGCAGAGGACAGAGAGTAAATAAGCTTGCTTGGCAAACCTGTCACACTCTATCCCTTCCTTACTTCAAAACTCTGATGACAACTCAGCTCTTCCATCACCAGCCTATGGTCCTGTTCACACTTTCCATCTAGTTCATCATAGTGAATGTAGCAGAACACCAGCCGGTCTTAGAAAGCCCATCAAGGAAAACGGTTTGCTCTTGAAATAATAGTATTCTCTTGCCCTCCCTGGCATCAGTATCATGCTTGAAGCTGTCAAGAGTAATGAGTAGCATTTAACATTAACCCAAGGAACACAGTGAGCTCAGGCTGAACATATTATACCAAGAAGAAAAAGCCATCAGTGAATAAAGTGAGTGAAGTGACTGACTTTGGCAGGGTCTGAGAGGAAGGAGAAAGGGTGATTGGCCTTTCCTTCTCACATGGTATTACTCATCACCAGCTTCTTAGGCAATCAAGTTCTATGAGCCCTTTGATCAAGAATGGAAGGACAGCTACTGGTGTTAACAAATGCCTTCAGATGGAAAACGCTGAGGTTACACAAATATTTGGGAGAGAATTATGTCTGCTGATAGATTGAAAGACAGGAGGAGGAAGCTGATTTGCAGTGTTGACTGGGATCTCATCTTGAAGAACTTTGCAAAAAATGAGTTGTCAATTTGACATCTGTAATCACATTCTCTGAAGCACAGCTTACCAGCCCATCAGAAGCTGTTGCTGGGTGGGGGGCATCAAACAATATGTCTGTATATCCCAAGCTGCTGGGATGCCAGTGGAGAGCCTGCTAGGGACAGCTGCATATTGACAGTGAATACACTCAAGGCAACCTATTGGATTGGTCTGTAGATTCTTTGGTGTTCCTCTGGCTTCCTTGACTCTCCCTTTCATCAGAGTGACTGATGACATTCCCATTTCCATGTGGAAGCCACTTAAATTTTGTTCTGATTGAAAATCTTATGGATGGGGAAGAGAGTGAAAGCCATATTCTTATGGGGTTTGGGGGCATGAATTAGAGGGGTGGATAGGTCTTATCAAGACCTATGATTTCATCAGTCCAAAGAACATCCAGCATGGACTTTGGACAAGTCATTGGAATGAAAGATTTAGGAAAGTATATTATCTTATCTTACATTATCCCTTTACTCAGAAACCAGTGATCTTTCCACTGCACCGCACTCTCAATCTCTCTGAGCCTCAGTTTCCTACTCTGTAAATCAAGGATGATAATAGTTCCTACCTCACAACATTGTCATGAGGATAAAGTGAAATAATGTGTGTAAAGGACTTTAAACCTTAAAGTCATAGAAATGTGCACTATTGTTATAATCTTGAGATACCCTTCTAGACTTCCCACCATGCCAGCTTCTCACTCATCCTTCTTTGTTCCTTGCAGATTATTGGAACCATCCCTCTGATGCCTAATCCGGTGCCATCCAGCCAAGCTGCAGGAGGAGCACAGGGCCTCCAGGTGCAGCCAATTACCCCCCAGCTATTGACTAATGCCCAGGGTCAGATCATTGCCACAGTCATCGGTAATCAAATCCTGCCTGTGATCAACACCCAGGGAATCACGCTTTCCCCAATAAAGCCAGGCCAACAGGTAAATAATCTCTTAAACAAAATGTGAATGATTCCTGCACCTTCTGAACATAGACTCCTTGGTTTTGTTATGGGATGCCTCTCCTTTACTTTTATTTGGTTTCAGTCAATCAAAGGTATTTTTAAATTACAGAACAATCATCAGTCCAATTGCCTATCATTTGAAAAATCAAGTAGTTTCATTTTCCCCTGAAGACAAATGTATGTGCACATGGGTAGTTTGTGTGCGTGAGAGAGAGACAGACAGACAGACAGACAGACAGACAGAGACAGAGAGACAGAGAGAGACAGAGACAGAGAGACAGAGAGAGACAGAGAGAGACAAAAATGGGGGGGAGAAGAAAAGTGGAAAGAGAGGGAAGGGAGAGAAGAGGGAAGAGAGAGAATGAGAGAAAGAGACAGAGAGTTTCTGTGAGATAGAAAGATGAATTTTATAAGACAGCAACAGAGACAATGGCTTAGACCTTAGGATTTAACATCCCGGAATAAGGAGTGATAGTACTTTTTCTTGTCTGCCCTGGTAAGACCCCATCTGGAGTCTTGTATTCAGTTCTGAGCACCACAGTGTAGGAAGGACATGGATTAGCTGGATAGCATCCAAAGAAAGGTAGTCAGGGGCCAAGAACCCTGAGTCTATGTCATATGAAGATCAGTAGAAAGAACTGGTGGTGTTTCATCTGAAGAAGACAAGACTCCATGGGCAAGGGAAGGGGATGTCAGAGCTGTCTTCAAGTGTCCATGGGGCTGCCACTTGGAAAAGGGATTCATTTTGCTCTAGGCCCTGGAGGACAAGAAGCAATGGAGAATGGGGGGAGGAAATCACAGAGGACTAATGTCAAGGAAAGCTTCCTGACAATTAGAACTTCCTGAAAGTGAAGTGGGCTTCCTTGGAAGGAAATGGTTTCCGATCTTAGGTCTTCAAGCAAAAACCATGTAACATCTTATCAAGTGTATTGTGGGCACCTGGACAGCATAGTGGATAGCATACTGGATGTAGAATCAGGAAGATCTGAGTTCAAATCCAGCCACAGACACTAACCCTCCAACTCTAACTCTCTGACTCTGTGTGATGTTAGACAAGTCCCTTCACCTCTCTCAACCTCAGTTACCCTCATCCATAAAATGGAGAAAATAATAGTATTTACCCAAGAGAGTAACTGTAATGATCAAATTATATTCTGTATTTAAATCACTATAGAAATATTGGCTATAAGCTACTATTAGAGGGGATTCCTTTTCAGGCTCAAGTTGCACTAGATGGCCACTGACTTTTGACAATTGAATGATCAAAGTGGTTTTCTCAAGACACTTAATTTGAGGGATGTTTTTCTTTTTATCCCTTTTACAAAAGGGGTAGGAGGAAATCAAGGCCAACTGCTCATTTGTCATCTCTAAAGGGAGGGAGAGAGAGTGAAGATTGAGAGAGAAAGGCTCATCCTAACTCAAGACTGACTGGTTCCTTCCTCTTAGAGAACTACTTCTTGAAACAAAGAATAAAATAGATTTTTAAAAATTAGCAAAACTAACCATCGTATCAACCAAGTTCAGCATTAATGAAGTGTTCTCCATCTATAATAGCCGAGCTCTGCAAAGAAGACAGAGGGGAACATTCTCATCTCTCTTCCTTGGGGACGAGCTTCTTCTTTAACTTTTCACTGCATCGGATGTCAGTTCTGTTGGTGGTGTTACTGTTGTCATTATTGTTGTTGTTGTTTTTCTTTCCATTTACATTGTTGTATTCATTGTGCATATTGTTTTCCCAGGTCAGCTTCATATCAGTTCAAATGTCTTTCCCCATTTTTCTCTGTTGTCTTATTTTTCATTTTTTGCAACATTATATTCATGAATCACAACTTGTTTAGCCATTCCTTAATCACTGTGTTTCCATATCCTTATTACTCAAAGAAATGTTGCTAATATATGTTGGTTTACATGCAACCTTTCTTTTTTTCATTGACATCCTTGAAGCATATGCCTAGCAAGGGGACCTCTGGGTCAAAGGGCATAAGTAACTCATTTTATTTTCTTTCTTAGCACAATTCCAAATTGCTTTCCAGAATGGTTGGATTAAATCATATCTCCACCAATAGGGTCATTTCACATCCCCTCCTATATTCATTACCATCTCCTTTATAATTTTTGCCAATTTCTTAGATGTGAGGTTAAACCCAAGTTATTACTGATGTTCATTCTCTTGTTATTAGTGATTTGAAACAATTTTTCATATTCTTGCTAATAGTTTGCAATTCTTCTTTCGAGAACTGTTTCTAATGGGTTTTGACCAAGTATCCAATAGGAAGATTATTCATAGAATCAAGGAGTCCATCCTCTAACCTAAGCTTGGTATAGTGGATAAAGCACCAGCCTTGGAGTCAGGAAGATCTGTGTTCAAATCTTGACTCAGACACTTATCACCTGTATGACCCTTGGCAAGTTATTCAACCTCTCTCAGCTATTTACCTTAGCCATAAAATGAAAATAATAATAGCATCTTCCTTATGGGGTGGCTATGGGCATCAGAGGAGATTACACACATGTACATGTACACACACATGCATGCATGCATACGTACATGCATACATATATGTAAAGTGCTTTGCAAACCTTGAAGAGTTACAGAGGTTTTATATACATATATATGTATATATATATATATGTTAGCTATTCATCTATCATTATCATCACAATTATAATTATTACTATTATTCGGCCCCACCCCTCTATCCTGCCCTTGGCTCTGCCCAACTCCCATGGTTCCTAACTTCTGTTATTCACAGATTCTGACTATAATGGTTTCACTGCCATAACAATACTAAATGTGGGGTTTTTTGTCCCCAGTTTTAGTATACTTCCTGGCACATAGTGGGTACTTAATTAGTGCTTTTTGATTGATTGTTTCTATTGGGAAGCAGTGGGACTGGAAGTTATAGCAGAATATCGAAAAGATCCATGTGAGATCATTTGTGTGACTACTCTGTCCACCAGTGCAAATTGTCACCCTTCTATGCCTCAGTAGAAGGCCTTCATGAACTGTTGCAACCTAATAAATCATTCCCTAGTAGCCATGCTTCAAGTAAGAGGCTTTCCACATAGTCACACAGCTCCACCCAATGCCAAGTACATGAATTCTGTCACCATGCTTATGCTCAAAGCCTTTCCAACCTGCTAAGACCAGTCAGGTTTTTACTACAATGACAGAATGTTCAGAGAATTAGATAAACAGAGTTGGAAGGAGAACATCTTCTAATTTGCCTCTTACCTGTCTGAGAATCCTTGCTAATGCATCCCCATCAAGTGGCCATAAAGCTTTTCCCCAAGGAATGAAGAGGATTTCTCCCAAGTCAATCGATCCTATTTTTGATAGTTCTAATTTTTGAATTTTGCCTTGTCTCAAGCCTTAATTTTTCTCCGTTTTTCCAGCCATTACTGCTACTTCTGCCCTCTGAGACCAAACAGAACAAATCCATTCCTTCCTCCATATGACAGTTCTTCAAATACTGAAGATAGACATCACAAGTCTTCCATTCAGCAAACTAAAACATCCCCAGCCCAGTTCTTTTAAGCAACCTTCTTATAGCACAATCTGCAATCACTCACCATCTTGAGCACTCCCTACCCCAGATTCTCTCCAACTTGTCCATGTATTCCTAAAATGTGAGGCCAAGAACTAAATACAAAGCCATGGAGATGGTCTGACCAGGGAAGAATACAGACTTTCATTTATTCTGGATTGTGCTTTTTTAAAGAAGGCTAAGCACAATCATTTTTGACTGACATAAATCATTCCTTGACTCTTAGTATACTTGTAGCCCACTAAATCCTTGAAATCTTTCTCCTTTGAACTGGTGTCCAGTCATGGCTCCTCCATCTTGTATTCATGGTGTTAAGTTTTTGAACATCTACATTAATTTTTATTAAATTTCATGTTATTATATTTAGTGTATCACTTTAGTCCATTAAGACATTTTGGAATCCACATTCCAATATCCACCATGTTAGCTAACCTTCCCAGCTTTGTGTCATCTGTAAATTGGAGAAGTGTGCCACCGGCACTTCTATTGAAATCATCTGGGGCAATGTCCAGTAGCAGAGGGCCAAAAACAAATCCCTAGTACATTTCATTAGACTCATCTCTCCAAGTTAACTTTGAGCTAATTAGGACTACTTTTTCAGTTCAGACATTCAATCAGCTACAAATCTATGAAACTCTACAAGCTCACATTTATCTCTCCATCTTATCCACAATGATAGAATGAGAGACTTTGTCATACGCCATGTTGAAATCTAAGTTACCTGTACTTATGGCATTCTCCTGAACTACCAGTCTATCTACCAGGTTGAAAAGAAAATGAGATTAGGCAAGCATGAGCTGTTCCCCATGAAGCTCTGCTACTTCTTAGTGACCATCACTTCCTTTTCTAGACGTCCACACAAAATCTCTTTAATAACAAGTTCTAGAAATTCCCCTAGAATCAAAGTCATTCATAGTACTATAGTTCAAGACTCTACTCTTTTACCTTTTAAAAAAAATCAGGACATTGCCATCTCTCCAATCCTACAGTGATCTGTTCTCCATAACCTTTCAAAGGCCAATAAAAGTGACTCAGTAATCCTACGAAAGTTTAGTACTCACTTTTGTGGTTTGTAAGGGATGGTGATATGGACTCCTTAGGACAGCTAGCTCACCTCAACATAGCTTCTCTGATACCATGTTTCAGCTCACTAATAGGCATTTGGTTATGTCAGTCCAAAGATCAAGTGAACAAAAGCAAGGTGAGAGTTTTCTGCCTTCTGTGTCACTCATCATCCTACTCATTCTAAGGAACAGGTCTAGCCATTTCTCACACCGCCTCATCTTTTTTCCTAATACTTCTAAAAATTTTTATTTTAAATAAATGTTTTGTTCACATTAGCACCACCATCCTCAGGTCATGCTAAGCCTTTGTGCTCAACCTCAATCACCTGCTCTTGGTGATTTTTTGAACTCTGCTTTGATGAATG